TAAAAAAACGTATGACCTTGTATATTTTATTATGCCCAGAACATTATCTATTTTTCTGTGTTGAATACTCCTTTATAAGTCCAAACCTCTTAGTAACACTGTTTCTGAAAATTCCAGGATTGGGAGTTTTGGGGAAATGAAAGGCATTCAAAAAAACATCTCAAACCTGAAATTATGATCTTCACAGGGTCACTGTTGGCTGAAATTTTAGTAGGGTAATGATAATTCAAGCCATAGCATCTGTATGTCCCTGCATGTTCTGATGTCACAGGTCCAAAGACAAATTTCTTCTGGAATGGTCTTCCCTGGATTGGAGGGATAGGATTACCAAGTTCTTTGTACAACTTGAATGTGTAATAGTCACTATGAGAGTCACATTGAAGTTCCACATGCTGTCCCAAAGGAACAATATGGCTTGGCCAGGCAGAGAGTGAAGGCTTTTCATGATATCCTGCAGAGGGGTGCACAGAGAAAATATTTAATGTTGCTCCTTCATCCCTGAAAGCTAAATCTCCAATTTTTCTCTTCTTTGATGTACTTTGTATAACACTTTTCTCTGATATGATACATCCCTTCTTCAATGTAAGAGGCTGAGATGTTCAGGAGATTTAGAAAGTAAACTAACTTTCTATGTCATGGAAAGGTGAAACATTCAACATTTATCAGTGGCCCTTCCCAGATATACAAAAAGAGTAAGACACTGGAACAGCTGAGCTCTGAGTGCTAATGTCTAAGACCTGTTGGGCTGCTGTCAAGTTATGCACTGAACTCCAGGGTTTTGGCTTCATGATAATTACTCATATTGGGGTGTGCTTTAAGTGAGGTTTGAGTCACCCTTGCTTCTGTTAGTAACCCCTAATCTACATTGCTATCAGTAACACAGTAAACCCATAGATTCACAGAGTAATGCTTTGGTGCAATCACTGTTTGCTCTGCCATGGATTTTTCTCATGAGGTGAGTAGATTTGTATGTGTTGTACACAGAGGGCCATTTTGAAGTGATGAGTGTGAGAGACTGTGGTTTTTAGAATAGTTATGGTCCCTATAGACTCTTCTGTTTAATTGCATGGCACATAGGTAATATCACTAATAGGAGGTATGGCCTCATATGAGTAGGTGTGGCCTTGGTGGAGGAAGTGTGTCATTTTGGAGTCACGTTTTGTGAACTCTTATGCTCAAGCTATTAACAGTGTGAAACACAGTCTCAGTCTGCTGCCAGTGGAACAAAATGAAGAAATCTATGCTCCTTCTCAAGCATCATCATCATGACTGCCTTCACACTGCTAGATTTTCTACCATTATTTTAATGGACTAAAACTCTAAACTGTAAGTTAATCCCAATCAGATGTTTCCCTTTATAAGAATTTCCATGGTCATGGTGTCTCTTCACATCAATAGAAACCCTAAGACAAAAGACTGTACATGTTATCCAACATACCATATATACGATATATCTTTCATGTTAAGATATTCTAACTGAGGATTTTGAATTTGGAATCATGAAGTAAATTGCATCATGAAAACATTAAAATTAAAAAAAATACACAAGAAGTGTAGAAGGAAAGGTTAGTGTGATTGAGATGATAGATCACAATTGATGCCACAAAGGGAGCAGAAAATGACAGTACTAGATTCATCAACTCTAGAAATCTAACAATATTGAGATGAGAATTATATCATGAATATTTCAAAACTCATGGATGATGGAGAGATAGCAGCCAGGACCACATGTTTGAGAAGAACTAGAACAATGATGAGGAATGAGTCTTTTGAACCACTTTGCCTGTTATGTACTTTTGTAAAAATTTTTATTCGCAGAGTTTATACAGGCTCATGTTTCTACACTCAGGTGATAAGCTAGAGGCTGATAGATATTTCCTTCTTCATTTCAAGACTCCTTATGTGAAATATTGGGAGTCTAGTATAGCTCAGCACCTTGTTTATTTGTATTTAGAATGGATTTGGACTCATAATGGTCAGCCCAAGAATCTTGTTCATTTATCTGTATCCACCTTTTGGATATTCCTGAGTAATGAGACAACAGCTAGTCTCAGTATTCTCAACTATGTAGACTCCAAGGTATACTACCAGTCAGGTAAGGTAGACATCTTGCAACACTGGCTACCCAGTAGTCATTGTACACCCTAGCCAGGGACTATTCTTTATTGCAGAGTTTTTGCAGCCCCTTAAAGCAGCAGGAAGTACATCTAGGAACAGCGTCTGATCTCAAAATACATGAAGGATCCCAGCTGAAATACAGAAGCTGACACCAAAGTC